CATCATCAAATTCGTTTTTGAGCACCGCAAATGCACAAGGTGCCATCAATGATTCAATTGTAAAAATGTTGCTGTGTAATGCGCCAGGAGCCCTCACAAGGAAGACCCTGGTTTATCTCAATCGTCCCTTCCTCCCTCACTGCATCGGTCAGACCCCCCCCAACCCCCCCACTCACCCTCCCCCCATTCCTCCCATTAAAAGAAAAGATGTCACCAAAGACCCAAACAGCCCCGAGGTCAATGATTGGCATGAATGTCCCAATTCATGTCAGGACCAGTGGCCCAGATAACTGAGTCCACTACGGCCACACACACACACACACACACACACACACACACACCTAGCAGCACAAAGCAGAGCCTCCTCACGAACGAGGAGAGTCAGACATCATGAGAAGATGAGGAATCACCGAGCTGTTTGACCGGTTAAAGCCGCTGTCACTCAGCACCACAGGAAGTACACAATTCCCCACATCTGTATCGCACGTATACACATGTTTTATTCCACGCTGATGAAAGAGTATTAGCAAAGCACGAGACGTCTGGAGTTTATGTGAAGTAAATTATTCATGCGTTCTGTGTGCTGATGTACGTGCGCATGCTGCAAATACACTCGGCCCACCGTCCTTTATGAACATTATTATTAGTGCAGCGCACAGAAAGGGTCACACGCCAAACATCTAACGGGGAACTAATGCAAACGCACATATTCAGCTGATCGACCTTCATCAGAGGAAGCTGCTGAACACTGATGCTCTCACACACACACACACACACACACACGCGCCGAGCGAGACAATGACCCGGTAACGGGCAGAGCGTGAACCCGAGAGGCGGCGGGGCGAAGGGGCCACACGGGTCCACATGGGTCGGGGATCTTCACTTGTTTGAGTAGTTGGTGACACCGATACCCGCCGCCTGTGTCACACACAACTTAGTGGGAACCCGAGCCGCCCGCGGGCCCCCTCCCCCCCCCCCGACTTACTACTCCCATCTTCCCCTCCGCTGACAGCTGACCGTGGGCGCTGATGAATGGAGGGGTCGGGGCGACAAAGCGGCCGGTGTGTACGACGTGTTCGCTGTGACGCGGGCGCACAGGGCGAGGGGGGGGGCGTCTCCACGCCGACGCCGTCTGGGATGAGCACCCATCATCACACATTCCCGGCTTCCCTTACCAGAAGTAATGATATATATGTATATATTATATTTGCATTTGTATCAGGATGAGATGATCCTTAAACTGGAGAAGATGCCAACATTCAGTCAGCATCATTATTTCAGGGTTTCACCTGAATTGAGTGCATGTGTCAGCACGTGGAAACGTTTTCCCCATTTAGGAATATTGCCTCACTGCATTCCAGAGAAAACTTTCAAACAAGCTTCTGTCCAAATCTCAGTGGCTTGAAGTAAATGACTTTACGACTCAGTAAAAGCTGCAACGTGACTCGGAAACCGCCGCAGAGTGACTAGTAAATGATTTAAGTTATTCAAACCAAAATGAAGTAATGATTATACGCTTCCACGTCTTTTTTTTTGCCCTTTTCCAGCACGACTTTTATTTTGACAGCTCACTCAGCTGTTGCGGGAATCGAACCTGTGACCCCCTCCCCGATACAGATCTGTGATTAGAACAGCAGCTCTCATAAAGCGGGCTGCGCTGCTTGTTTGGATTAGATAACCCGTTACCTGCGGGGGGGGGGGGGCGCGCACATGCGGCAATTGCGCCAAATGAATTGCACTTCTCTAACTGATGCCCGTGACCCTGAACGCATCTCCTGCGTGACCCTGGTGCCCGCGCACCTGCTGCTGCTGCGCGCGCCCGCCGACGTCCACTTACCGGCCAGGCGAACTGGAACGGGATGAGGATCCTCCCGGCGTCGCTGTTCCGGTTCTGCCCGGACTTCTGGCCGCCTCTGAACTGAAAAGTATTCCCCCCGAGGACCTTGGTGGTCTCCGAGCCGTACGTGCACGCCCCGTTGGTCGTGACCTCGGTCTGGTATTCCTTCAAGCACACGCGGAAGTACGTGTCGCACTCGTCGGGGCCGCACGAGCCCTCCGACGCGCTCCTCTCCGCGTCGCAGCAGTCGCCGTTCAGCAGCTGCCCGGCGGGGTTCCCCACCGACATCAGCTGCAGCTCGAAGTACCCGGTGGACCGAGACACCTGGGGGGAGGAGACACGATGAGAAAGCACGTCCATTGTGTGTCTCCCCCTGGGGGGGGGGACACGGGGGAGGCGAACGCTCCAATAACGGCTCAGAGGTTTGAGGAGGAATAAAGACGCATCGGAGGCGGCGGGGCGCGCGGGCCACAGGCGGACACCGCGGGCCGCGTAACGGGCGCCACACGCGCGCACATCGGGCCGAAATATTTCACATCAGACACACAAAAACACACACACACAGACGCTGCAAACCCAATTGCACCAAAGTGCGCGGCGTCTCCGCGTGTTTAAAACGCGGTTCGTTCTGAGGAGGGAACTTTAAATACAGAACTTGTGGTCGTCTTAACTTTACGGTCTGACACAAACCAACACAGCAGATCGGTTCAACTTCGCTTAGAGATCACGTGATTAGAGCGTTCAAATACATTAAAACTGATTTTTTTTTTTAAATAAAGAAGATAGAATAATGGATAGGTGAACGCCGCATGGAGAACCTCCTCGTCCCGCAGTGATGGAAGTTCTCACCTCGGCGCACAGCGCCAGCAGCAGACACACGAGCGCGCCGCGGCGCACTTTGCCCGGATTATTCCACATGTCTCCGGCCGCGCGGCGCTGGTTACCATCGGGGGAAATGAAGAAAACGCGTAAATCTCAAGCCGGCCGTTTCCCTCCTCCGCGTGCGTGCGTGTGCCGCCGCGGGGGGCGTGCACGGTGCGGGATGCCTGCGGCTCTGGAGGAAGAGGAGCGCGGGAGGAAGAGGAGCGCACCGCCGCCGCTGCTGCTGCTGCTCTTTGGTCCACGGACGCACTGAGACGCGCTGGTCGGCGCAGAAGGAGAGCGGAGGCGCGTCTCCGGAGCCGAGAGCCAGAAGAGCCGGGCGATCCCACGGGCGGGTGAGGGACCGCGGCGCGGACCAATCGCAGGCCGCCTGGGCGGGACGATGGTACGTGCCGAGCCAACCGGGAGGAAGGCGCGATGGGAGGAACGCTGGTGGATTTATCGTGGCGAGTTGTCACACGGGAGCTTGTATTTGTGTGTTTTATTACACGCACTCCGTATTTCACCAAACGCACGTGACTCTCCGTGCTGCAATAAGTGGCGGGATTTACATAAATGTATTAGGACTTAACTTATTTCATCATCATCATAACTTTATGACCTTATTTATTTATTTATTAGCTTTGTATGCAGGATTTTAATTCAGAAGATTGATGTCAGCAGAATCAAACAAGCAGCAATGTGGCCCGTGAACAAAGAGCCAACACGCACGCACGCACACACACGCACACACACGCACACACACGCACACACACACGCACGCACGCACGTGAGTGCGGAGGACAGCTGAGCTGCTCACTGACCTGAAAGCATTGGACGCCGGACTAATAGCGCCCTCTACTGACCGCTCACCCTCCCACGCACACACACACACACACACACATGCACACGCACGCACACACGCACACACACAGGAGGTAAACTTGTTGATTTCTTCTCTGCTTTTCGTTCTTTTCCCTCCTTCAATCCACCGATCTCACAGCTGTTCATGTTCAGGTATACAGATGTGTACTCTGGTCTCGCAGCTAAACGCGTCTTTAAGAAGAAAAGTTCAAACTGGCCTTTTCATACGGATGAGAACCACAGACGGGCTGCGACGGACGACGGAGCGACGTGACCTCTCTCCAAAACCAACGAGGACCATCTCGCTCTCAACCTAAAGTCCACCTGATGTCCACCGCATCCCGTGTTCACTATCAAACATCTGCAGGCCGGGCAGCTGTTTCTGGAGCGCAGCAGCTGCGGTCGGCTTCAGTTTCAGCTGCTTCACTGTAATTGTTTGGCTGCAAATGGAAGAAGTAGCAAAGCGCCTGAAGGCTTCCTGTCCGCTCATGCCGCGACTCCGTCCGTCCTCGTCTCTTTAGCCTCTGATGAAAGGCGGGACACCCACAAAACATTTGTTTTGTTCCACAATGACACTCTGGAGAACGATATTTCCTTTAAAAGAGATTATTGAACGTCTCAATGGGATAATCAGTTCTGCTTTTTGGGATATTTGGAACATGAAGAATTCCGACATGCATCAAAAACTGTGTGACTTCCAGCACACAGACGAGACTTCCTGTCGCTTCCATATTGGGTGGAGGTCTCAGATGAGGGGTGGTGGGGGGGGGGGTGGTCCCGGGGACGGTCCGACGGGACAACTGTTTCTGTGCGCACACATCGGCCGGCTGCAAACACAAGACATCAGTTCTGCAGGCCGACAGGTGGCTCCTCCTGACACCCTGCGGCAGATGTTTCCTCTCAGGGAAGCAGGTGCAGAGGGATGCACACACACACACACACACACACACTTGTGTAGATGTGACTCATTCACACCCGTGCACACAGACACACTTATTGTGTTCACCTCTTTACGACGGCTCTTATCAGCCGCCAAGAGGAAGTGTGGGAAGCGGTTCTGGGACAGACAAACCGTCTTTATTTGCTGAATTAAACCTCCTCCTCTGCTTCTGGTCGTAGCCGAGCATCAGGATCCGGAGCTACGCTTTTTGGGGGGATTTTTCCTTCACAGCTTGAGGACGATCACCGTAAGTTAGCAGAGCAAAGATCCCCTTCGAAGGCACATCCAGCGTGAGATGAGCTCATGAAACAAGACGGCGATGTCAGTAAGACGCACTGAGATAGAAACAGTAAAGGTCACGCACCAGCGCCGCAGGCACACGCGGCCGACATCAAGAAATACACCACGTCCAACGTCGGGATTACACTCGAGGCAGGTGTCTCATTCTGCACCACAAAAATCAAACTCATAGCGACGCTTTTGGAACGTTTTCCAAATGAAGAGCGGTTCGTCCTCTGGGGAGCGTCAATGGCTGCAAAGAGTATCGAGCCAATGCTTGTTGCAAGGACGGAGGCCAACATGACTCATCTTCTGGGGACCATGAACGTCCGTATTTCCATCCAACAGTCACTAAGATATTTAACTCAGGACCAAAACATGAAACATTAAAACAAAAAATGCCTTTATAAAGATGATGATTTTGAGTTTTTGTCGATCTTTTGTACTCGTTGACCTGCTTTGGAGATAAAAAGGTGTTTTCATGTCCTGCAGATGAATAGTTGAAGGATTATGAAATTCAGCAGGAGATAAAGTCCCATCTCACATTGCTGGACCTCTAATGCCGAGTAAAGACTAAACAAAGTCGACAACCTGATCTGATACGTGCAGCATGATGCTTCTGTTTACTCTGCTCCACCAATAGAGGAGCCGATGTGCCGACAGAGGACTCATTTAGACGTGAAGGTCTCTGGTTTGTCTTCTGGACGTCACCGCGAAGCCGCCGTACCGAGTTCTCTTCATTTAAGGTTCCTGCTGCTGCGCATCACAAGCTCATGTCTGCGTGTGAAGGGTTCCTGCACATCGATCACGCCCTGGTGATTAAAGTAAGCGATCCTTTGATGGCCGCGAGTGGGCGTGAAGTTTTACCGACTCGCCGCGTCACCGCTGGAAGGCCTGAGTCAGCGAGCGCGGCGTGCGCCGACCTGCCTTCCTTCTCACTTTCCGATCAAAGTGAGGTTCCGCTTGGCGTGGCCGTGTGCCAGGTCACCTGATTACATTGACCGTGGGGCCTAATTGAAACACAACCTCCCAGCACCTGGAGGGGGCGGGGCTAACAATCAGACAGTGACAATAAATGGCTCTCACGGTGCCTCTGACCTGGCGCGTTGTTGGCTAGCTGCTAGCAGGCGGCTTAGTCGGCGCCACGTTGAGCCCCTTTAAGAAAGACTCATCACATCATCCATTTTTCAGGCCCTGACTCCCGTTTTCTGTTTCTCTCTCGTCCTGCAGGACTCGGGAGCGATGTTTCTCTCACAACACAAATTCGCTTTCACCTTCACCCTCAGCTTCTGCACACAATGTGGAGTGCAATGGGGGGGTTGGGGGGGGGGGGGGGCGCTTTACAGGTCCGCTCCCTGGGGAATGCAAACAAGAACTCTCTATCTGACTGAAAAAGTCAACTTTAGAACGTCCTGTCGCGGCTTGCCCGGTTTGTGCTTTTTGGCCATCGGACCCTCGTTTTCTCACGGCGTCTTTGCTCTGCAGACCAGGGGGGGGCGGAGCCCTGACACATTCTCCCTTGCTCGAGGGCAGGCGGACGGTGACGGTGTGGCATCTGATTCACCCCTTTGAATTCCTAAAAGCTGCGATGGGGTCACCTTGGGGGGGGGGGGTCAGGTTGTGTCAGGTGATTTTGTGCGACAATGCGACGCGTTTGTGACCTCGTTGGGTCCGAAAGCGTCACGAGGGAAGACGAGAACTCAGCGTTCCTTCGCGGGGACCAAAGCACCATAATCAATGGTCTGTGGTGTCACAGTAACGGGTCAGCGGGCGGAGTGAAGGTGACCTGAGAGGGGCTCCAGGTGAGGCGGCTCCTCGCTCCCCTTCAGGCGTCTCGGCCCGGTGGAGCGCGCAGCCAGCTGAGCTCCTGCGGGGAGACAAAGGGGAAAGAGGATTTAGCTGACCTCCTCTGTCCTCTGTCCTCTGTCCTCACACCTTCAGAGGAAACGCCGTTTGATCAGCTGACAGCGCGCTGACAGACGGGGAGCCCGGCTCCGCCTCCGCACATACCGAGTACACTTATCATCGGCGCAAGAGTGAAGCGTCGGATCAGGCATTCCTCCTACGTGTGTGTGTGTGTGTGTGTGTGTGTGTGTGTGTGTGTCTCAATCACACACACGTGTTCCCATTTCTAAGGCAACATGTGGAAATTCCTCACATTGCAATACAATTATTTTTATTCTGCCGACGTTCAGACTGCAGGTGCGAGTGGATTCATCCGAGGGACGAGGTCTGTGCTCTGGAGACACGTGGACGGAAGCTGTGAGGACCAGAGGAGAAGAGGTCTTTTGGTTTGATTGAGTCGGGTCAAAGATGGAGGAGGGAGACGTGTGAAGACACTTCACCTGTTTGTAAAACGCGTGAAAAGTCAAATCATTTGAGGGTTTTTCTAACAATCCTCCCGATTCCACTGATGCAGCAAATGAACCCGGTTCTACTTTTAATCCCTTTTAAGTTCTCTTCCGTTAGTCTTCATTTATTCAAATGGGATATTTAGTTATTATCAGATTAGAGATGTGGTCAATCCACCATTTCACACTCGCATCTTCACTTTGTTTCCATACGCAGAACTTTGATCAAACCGGTTTGAGATTTGAGAAGTTTGAAAGAGACATTTAAGGAAGTAAATCATCGACATGCTGAGGGGGTCTGAGGGGGGTTTCCCGGTTTACAACATCACGATACAGGGTTGTGGAAAAAGGCAAATGTTTAACCTCAGACGACGAGACATCCAGGGTGGACAGGGTGGACAGGTGGGACAGGTGTGTGTCGGGCTCCTCTTAGTGGAGGTCACTGTGTGAGCTGCAGCAGCAGGTGCAGAAGCTCTAAGGTGCCTGTCTGATAACAGCAGGTTTACGGCCTTTATCAGCAGTGGGGGCACATTTAGACCTGCTTCTCTCTGCCTGTCTGCCTGTTTACCTGTCTGTCTGTTTACCTGTCTGCCTGTTTACCTGTCTGTCTGTTTACCTGTCTGTCTGTTTACCTGTCTGCCTGTTTACCTGTCTGCCTGTTTACCTGTCTGTCTGTTTACCTGTCTGCCTGTTTACCTGTCTGCCTGTTTACCTGTCTGCCTGTTTGTCTGTTTACCTGTCTGTGTACCTCTCTGCCTGTTTACCTGTCTGCCTGTCTGCCCGTTTACCTGTCTGCCTGTTTACCTTTCTGTCTGTCTGCCTGTTTACCTGTCTGCCTGTTTACCTTTCTGCCTCTCTGCCTGTGTACCTGTTTACTTGTTTACCTGTCTGTTTACCTGTCTGCCTGTTTACCTGTCTGTCCGTTTACCTGTCTGCCTGTTTACCTGTCTGTCCGTTTACCTGTCTGCCTGTGTACCTGTCTGCCTGTTTACCTGTCCGCCTGTTTACCTGTCTGC